CATTCGAGGATATGTAATAAAAGTTTCAGTTCAAGTAATTGTTTAATAACAGAAAAATAAGAATTGGTTGCTTTATTTTGAGTCAGGTAGACCCAATTTATGTACAAGAATTGAATTAGGTTTCCCACTACACTATGTCCTAATAATATAAAATTTAATTTATTTTTTTTTTAAATTTAATATAATCTTCTTTCTAAATCGAAGATAATTAATGCTCGGACTACCGAATCACAGAATTTCTGGTAACCTAATTCTACAGAAAAGATTCCACTGTGTGGTTCGTTAAATTCGCTACAAAATTATTTGAAATAGTTACAAAACGATTTATATAGCGTTGCATAAAGGTGTTCGTCCAATACCATCATTCCCGAAATATGTTTTAGAAAGAACATCATTTTAGCAAATACAGTCTATCGGTGTTAACAATTTCGTGACAATTTCGATCAAATTGAGCGTGTATTCAATCGTTATCGATAACGAAGTAAAATTGGGGTCCAAATGAGAGGTGAACATTGTTGCCAAATCAGATTCTACGGTACGTAGAACTAGCGCAACCCAAATATTAAACGTGCTGAAAATTTCTGACTAAAAAATTTCAGAATCCTTTGTCTACCTCCGGGGCATCACTGATTTATGCATTATAGTCTGGAACAAAGCCAACCTGTCTATATCACTTCGTTTGGTAGAGACAGTGCACAATGTGCAGCGAGTTATAAAACGTCGCGTAATCCACTTTGTTCCTGAATACCTTATAAAACACGTTCCTAGATTTATTAAAAAATATGGTCGCATACTGGTGGCGATCGTGTAACCGTAACCTATTACGCCAGCAATTTCAGTTGACTTCAATTTTCTAGCTATTCTTTTCGAAAGTAACTGCATTGTTTGTGTGGTGTGTGTGTGTGTGTGTAGTAAGTGTATATAAGAATAACTTAGTTTATTGACTTAGTATTGATTTCGTTATAAAAACTCAGTAATATTAATTCAGTGATATAACTATAGTAACATAGGTTTAGAGTGATATTCAATAATGAATCTTTAGTAATACGGATTGACTAA